TGAACCGAAAAACAACATGGGTCAAATTTGTCCTGCCGTGTACTAACGTAGAGCAGTGATGCGCGTTTGCTGAAGGTTAATCCGGCTTCAAAGCCACAAACTTCCTGAGATGCGTAACACATCGTTTAGGTAAACGGATGGTCAGCTAGCTAAAATTATCTAATTATCTATTTCAGTAATGTAAGATTGCGTGTTCCTTAATCTTCGAATTGGATCTGGGTTTTATTTTTTGCAGACTTAGAGCAATTTTAAAAAATAAAGCTTGAACTTCGATTATGTCAAAAGAATTACGATTCTGGAGCTGCCACGGAGCTACAAAGCAAAGCATGTTTCCAATGTCCATCAAACAAAAGTGGAATTGCGAAAAAATGGATAAAGGCATATCCTTTGTTTCTCTAACCATTCGAAGGGTGGGGGGGGACGTTTCAGTGGCCAATGAACGGAAGTTTGATCTGTCCAGAGGCCACATTTCATCTTCAGGGCAGATGTTTTTTTTTATTCGGCTATAATTCCTACTAAATGTAGTGTTTCATCTCGATGTACTCCGTCTTTGATATGATTAAAATCAAATTCCTTGTCATTAAATATCAAAATACACTCAACTAGTTTTTGGTTGCAATTTTCTAATTTCGCTGTATGCTTTAGCATGCGCCGGTGAAAGAAATGTTAATAAAGTAAACAAATAATATTAAGCTTTTTTTTTGTGAATTTGATACCAATTAGATCATAATTGCTCTTTTCATAAATAGGTTTCATATTTTAATTTTAATTCTGCAGCCATCTTACCAGATTTAAATTGATGATCTATAATCCGTTATCGCCGAAGTCCCGACGAGTCTGGATTAAAGACTTTTGACTGTATACTATATCAACCTCATAAACAATTCATAAAAATCACAGAAACAACATAAACTGCATGAAAAAGCAGTCAGCTGTTCTGTATAGGTTCCACCAGACTCTGACCGAATGCATGATGCTGCTGAACTGCAATGCAGAATTTTATATTTAGTCTTTCTAGCACATAAATACACTATAGCATTCAAAATTCCCGGACTAATAACGTAAAAATGTTTTACAGTAGTTCAACGACGAGAACGTTTTTGTGTTACTACATTCTTTCCTTTTACTAAAAGTGGTATGTCCCAAATCACATGGACAAAAGTTCACGGCGACAGCGTTTTTTGTGGGCAGGTGCATTTAGTAATCAACGATGGAAATAAATGGTGTCAGTTGAGCAGAGAATCAAATTTTGTGTTCGCTTGGCAAAGAGTGCTACGGAGACTTTCGAAATGCTGCAGCATGTGTATGGAAGTGAAATGTTATCAAGAATGCAAGCTTTTGAGTGCATTGTCGTTTCAGAGAAAGCAGGGAAAGTGCCAAAGATGATGAACATTGTGGCCGTTCCATGATTTCGTGCACCAATGAAAACATCAAAAAGGTGTTGGCAGTGGTCCGTACGAACATGGAACAAACAATTTGAAAAACAACAGAAACAGTTAGGATATCAGAGGCCACATGTCAGCCGATACTGACTAAGCATCTTAACATGCATAGGGTGTGTCAACACATAGTTCCCCACATGTTAAATATAGACCAAATGGAAATTTGAATGGAAATGGCGGGAGACTTAATCTCAACTGTTGACAAAGATCCTTCCCCACTTGGCAGAATTGTTACTGGAGACAAGAAATTGTTTTTTTTTTTTTTTTTTTTTTGTACGACCTGCAAACTAAGACAACATCAGCAAAGAGGAAATCACCCCAATCTCCATGGAAGCAGAAATTCCGCCAAGATGGCTCTAAATGAAAGGTAATGTTACAGGTATTCTTTGATATCCAGGGCACTGTGCATCTGGAATTTATCCACTGTGAACAAAGAACTCTACATTGAATCTACTGTATCGCTTGCGTGAGTTAATCCGGAAGAAGAGACCAAAAATATGGGCTGAGCAGTCATGGGTGCTGTTGCGTGACAACATTGTTTTGTCTCATCCTCCTTACTCACCTGATCTCACACCCTGAAATTTCTTCCCATTTCCTGAAATGGCAAGACGCTTGCTGGGTCGTCGATTCGAATCTTTAGATGAAGTTAAATGTGCATCGCAGGCTGAATTAAAGGACATGGCCAAAAATGGATTCCAGACATGCTTCAATAAACTATAGCGGCGCTGGCAAAAGTGTGTTGTTGCACAAGAGTCTTATTTCGAAGGAGGATGTTTTGAATCCTAACTCGTATAATACTAAAACAATTTTTAAAACAATAAACATCATGTCAGTTCAGAAATATATTATAAATATGATGTACATAATTTTTTAACACTTGCTATTATGTCATCAGCTACATTTCTGTACAAATAAAGCATGCCTTTCCATCTATGAATGTAATTAAGTCCCACCTGCTAAGATGCATGCGACTGTTCAATACATGAATATTTCGAACTGGAAGGAAGATATGTGCTAGTAAAATATAATCTACATTTATATTGATAAATGGCAATGTCATGCAGTGTACAGTTAAAAACTTTTATGCAATGTTTCATATTTTACGCAGGATAAATGGCAATTTTATTGGATATGTTTATGATAAAATAAAATGGAAGTGGCATGAAAATGAGGGAAACTAACTTCTCTTAAACATTACACATTTACAGCTACATATTTTTTCTAAACATTGGATTTCTCTTTTTATCCCAGTTATGCTGAAAGTTTGTAGTTTGTTTCTTTTAATCATTCTAGCAAACTTCAATATCAAATGAAAACTGCAATCTTTCAACATCTTTTTCAATTTTAGAAAAAAAAAAAAAAAAAAAAAAAAAAAAACTGAATGGTGTTAAATCTGGATTTAAAATTCCATTGTTTGTTGATTATAGTGAAATTTACATTATCATGACAGGGATCCTCTTTTTAGGTCTAATTGTGAAGGTATATTTTTTTAGCATAAGTTACTTTTCTCAGTGCCTTTTGGAATGAATTATCAACTTTTAAGCAAATATTCAGTTCCTTATGGAGTCAAAACTTTCTATTATTGACTGCTGTTTAAGTTAACTCAGATGTAATGCTCATGTTTAATGAATGCTGTTATTTTCGAAGTTTAAACAATAAATGAAGCTGCTCATTTGTACCTGATAGGTAAAGCTACAAAGAGCTAATACAAGGCAATTTTCTATATGAAGTGATGCCACATGTTATGTGACATTACTCGGAAAACAATTTATTCAATTTTTTTAACTGTACCAGCACTGTCTGTCTTTATACATTTCAGAAAATGTTTTAGTTACTTCTATTACCCATTCTCGAATAAAATTAACACAGTAAAAGTGACTTTTTTTAATAGTTTAGTAGAAAACATACACAAATCCTTAAAATTTTACGTTTGGTTAAAATATTTTATAAATATTTTTCAATTTAACATTGGTACAAAATCAAAAATATTTAAACTTCTATAGCCATACGGATTAAGACCATCTACTGGATTTTGATAGAAAACCACCACCTTACCTACACATAAAAATTTGAGATAGCTTGTATTCCTACATGGAATATGAAAAAAATGATGCACTAGAAGCGGTTGCAACAAAAGTTTTCCACTAAAAAAATGTTCTTAGTAAAGTTAGGGAAAAAAAAAAACAAAGTAGTAGCTTTAGTGTGAGTAGCATCCACCACCCAAATCTGTGATTTTCTGGCAATGCTTTGGTAGTTTTTCAAAGTTTTTGGCCCAGAAACTTAGTGGCCGCGAGTCCAAAAAGAGATCAACCTCATTTCGGACATCCTGTGGAGAATGAAAGATAGCTCCAGGAAGATGTAGCTGCAGGTGTGATAAAAGGTAGAAATCCGATGGAGCGATGTCAGGGCTATATGGCGCGTGTGGAAAAAGATCCTATTCGAATTCATACAGAGTCCAGCCGGTCAATGCAGACACACGTGGTTTTGCATTATCTTAATGGAACATTACCTTTTTGCCTCAGAACTCAGTTTGACATTTTCCCTTGATAGCAGCGGATTAGCATCTCGTTGCACAACTTGAGTTTGTTGAGAGTTTTACTTTTTTCCAAATACACTTTGTGGTTAATACTTGGCAATCCCACCAGATACAAAGCATGATCTTTTTGTTTGTCAAACTGCACTTTGCGGTGCTGCCGGCGGGCTCACCGAGTGCAAACCAACTAACTTTTTGGCCCGTGTTGGTGAAGTAAATCTACTTTTCATCACAAATGATAATCCAGTCCAGAATTTTGTCCTTGTGTTGATATTCGAGCAGATTAGTGCAGGCCTGAACACGTCTGTCCTTATCTGCTTGAGTCAGCTCATGCGACACCCAGCGACTGAACGTGTACGTCAAGTTTATGAGATGCATAGCGTGACTAATGGATACGGTACTAACATCTAACTCCTTACCAAGCTCTTGAATAGTTGCATACTGATCTTTCACAAGTTCTTGAAGGCAGGCCTCATCAACATCAGTAGGTCGGCCAGAGTGTTCTGCTTCTTGAATGTCAAAGTCAGCGTTTTTGAACTTTCAGCTCCAAAACTTGATGGTGCCATATGAGGCAACATTAGTACCTAAAGCCATGCACATGATTTGGTGACATTCTGTAGCTGACAGCGTGATAGTTCCATTTCAGACACCTTGTACTTAATAACAATTTTTTGTTGTTGCTGTTTTACAAATTTCACAACACTGTGTTCCAAAGCAAGGCTCTCTCAAATGCCAAATATCATTTGACAAAATATGACAAAACATAGTAATGTGAACCATGTGCGCAGACAAGATTTGCGGCAGTGGGAAACTTTCGTTAAAACCCTATATTATCTTATCAAGAAATGCGAGATAAACACTGCTCCATATCAATTCTATTGATGCTTTTAATGCAAGCAATCATCATGATTTCCTGAAGTAAATAAAATCTGATTAAGCATACTAGTCCACATGTAAAAGAGTCAAATGTTAGAAATTTAAATTATTACTAATTATATTTCAGCACGAAATATTGTAGAGCTCACCTTTAAAATATAAGGTTCCTCCTTTTCACTTCGTCTTTTCTTTGGTTTTGGTTTGGAAGTAGAACTACGAGTATCTAAATAATAAGTACTTATTAAACATCGATTCAAAGTAATGAAAGAGATTAAAAAACTGCACCATATGAAAGAAATGCAGTTAAAAAAACCTTAACTGAAATAACAGCGAAAAGTAACGTTGAACAACTGGATTTCAAATACCAATTATGTCTAATTCTTTTATGAAGTTCACTTAGAAACAAATACAAGGTTATTTGGGAAAACAAACAATCTCAGAGCACTGCACGTAAACAGAAAGATCTCTGAAATCTCTATTGTCCAACACACAATTTATTTACTACTTATCAAACACTGGCATGAGGATCAAAAGACTACACGTTACTTTTAAACAATACAGGTATGCAAATATAGATTTATAATTAATTTAGATAAAGTGACAGGCTTATTACTACAAATGAAGTAATAGTTAGAAGACATAATGTGATTTCAGGTAATCTTAGCTCCTTTAAGAGGACTTTTTTAAAAATAAAAATATCTCCTCCTCACTGCATCAAGTTAAATCTATACAGAAGATTTAAACTGGAAGAGAAACATACCAATGTAAAAACTCAAAATTAAGCAAAACAGCAACATTATTTTGGCACATATTTTGAACAAAACTCTTATTGATTTCGATCAAACACAGGTTCCTCTTCTTCAGAAGCAAAAGGGGACTGTGATGACACTCAAGCTTTTGACCATTGTGGTCTTTGACTTGTAGATGGATTTGTTCATAGGCGAATGCCATGCTTACTAAATAAGTGCTAAGCTGCATTACCATAAGATGGCAAAGGAACAGGGTTGGTTCCGCCGGTGAATTATTGAGAGCAAGTGCAAGAAGAATAGGAAGGATACCTTTTTTGTGGAAATGGTTGAAATGAAAAATGAATAACTTGGGTACTATGGCACAGGAGCAGTAGACAGTACATGTTATACAAATTTAAGCAAACTGGATGATTGAATGCAGATATAACAACACTAAAATTGCTGAAACTTGGATAACTATGAAGATACAGGAAATGTATTAAATGAAGAAAATATATTTACAAGCTACGTAAATTAGTAAGATAATATAGTAAAGTCCTTTTCTTGCTTTGCAAGGAAATACAAAGTCTTTAATTATTAATTTATATTTTATTGAGAACTGAACAGGGCTAATAAGATGTATTATGTAAAATCATGTGAAGTCTCTTGAATGATGGCTTTACTGTGGGACTAAATAAGCCATCCTTGCTATGTATGAGTAATCCAAGTTCATTACTTTGTTTAAAAAATCCTCATTAACATGCATCTTGTGCATGCAGGATGTCGAGATCTTTGTGGATACCTAAATTTCACAGGTGATGGAAAGAAGAACTTTATTTTGGAAGTTTCAGATTTTCTTCTGCAAGTCCTTGGAACTATGGCCCAAATTGGAATCTGTAGAATTTGAGCATATTATAGATATGAATCTTAAAAAGTTCTCTTCACTCTTATATGAAGTTTTTATTTTTATCCTCTTAAGTTATATACTGCCATATAGCCAGCATTTCCTTTGATTAGTTCATACATGACATGTTTAGCTGGTTATTCAAGATGACTCCCAAACATTTAGTTCAGTCTGTTATTCGGAGCAATTGTATCTATAAGTAGATTACGGTTGACTTGCTGATTTTTGCAATATCTCCGAAGAGTATTACACAATACTTTTTGGCATTTAGTTTAATTTTCCATAATTTACACCAGTGTTCTATGATGCTTAGGCCAAATTATAAGTTTGATGCCTGACTGAAGACCGAGCGTCATAGTACTCATGCACGTATACATTTCTGTTTTTAAAAGCATGCTGCCAGTTCTTATTTGAAATGCATGACATTTCAGGTACCGTTTTAGGAGATAGGTCATTTTGCCAAGAAGCTTGATCATAGTTAATTTATATATCAAGCCTTCATGACAAATTTTATTAAAATACTTTTCTAAGAAACCTGCTACATTTTTGTTAGTGAAGGTTCCATTTATTGTTTTTACATTTCAGATTTGTAGCATTGTATTTGTAGCATTGTATTGTGGTCTTCCTGAAAGTTGGACTGGTTGTGCAAAAGGGAAGCAGCAATGATTATATTTATACTGAAAATAACAGGGTGGAGTAAAGCAAACATAAATATAGTGCTGGAATATCAGGCAGCAGCTATTCTTATGAAGCCAAAACATGATAACATAAAGGCAAACATATGCTTAAAAATGAGTAATACAATGTTTAAGAAATATGCTATTTTTTTATCTCCCCTTTACATCCAGCTAACATTTCATTTGAAAACATTAATATCCTTTTAATATAAAATCTAAGCCATAAAACTGCATGGTTTTTCCTCATGAATTTTGCTATTTTCATAATAAAATTACTGTTTAGAACATAATTACTGAACACGACCTTATGGGAAATAACATCATACCGAATAAATAAATAAATTAAATTCATTATTCAGAAATTATTACTTACTGCTTTCTGTAGAAACGGCTTTAAGTAAGGATTGCTAACAGAACTCTTAGATTTATTTATTATTAAAGTAGTTTTTGTCTTTGGAAATTTTTACAGTAGACATTGCCTTAATTACATATTTAACGGTCTAGGACAAATTAGAAAGTTATTATTTTAGAGAATATTATGTATTCAAGAATAAAGGGCACATATTACATATTGGAGAATAAAAAGCATATGCAGTTAGAATGAAGTTAAGAACAAAATAAAATGTTTTAGACTCATATGCTAACACCACATTTAAACATAAGTACTACTTTTACAGGGTTCGTACACATTTCCTTACATGAAAATTAAGGACTTTTAAGGACCATCAAAAAAAACAAAAAAAAAAAAAAAAAAAAAAAAAAAAAAAAAAAAAAAAAAAAAGAAGAAGAAGAAAGATCAAAGAAAAATTAAGGACCTATCAGAAAAAAAAAAAAAACAAAAAAAAAAAAAAAAAAAAAGAATCGAATAAAGCATTCCATACAACCGACTCATGCTTGTAATTTCACTTTAAGAAACTAACAGAAGTTGTATTATGTACTATTATTAAATTCAATTTAATACTTATCAAAAACATAAAACAATTTTGAAAATTAAACTAACTCCCTACAAGTTATGAGGCAGATAACATTAAATTAGGAATATAAGATCTTGAAAAACATGTATAAGTGTATTTTACACTAATAACAGTCATACGTATTTTAGAGATTTACATGATTACTATTTAACTTTTTTGATATTTATTCAAACACAGTCAACTACTATTATAAATCACAATGTAAGAATATTTTGCAGATTAAAATAACAGATCAGAAAACATACAATTCCCTTTCTTTGGTATTTGAAAGATACTATAATAATAAACTATACAATAAAAGATACAAAACATTTGTGCTTTTTTTTTTTTTTAATCTGAAATCTTTTCAGCTATTTTAACATCTAATTTATTTATGTCTATTTCCTTTTCTGTAACTATTTTTCTAAGTTCATTTTCTTTGATAAACAAATCAATGTTCCTGCTGGTCTCAGCTTCATCTGCTAAAGCATCTACTTTTTCATTAATACCTTTAATGACCCTTTGAAGAAATTTTTTCTTCTGCTTCATATAATCAATTTCTTTTCCTCTTTGAATTTTCAAATTTAGTTAAAGATTTTTGTTCTAAATATACTGCATACATTTAGACCTTGCAGAAGCTGCTGCTGATCTCATTTCTTTATTAATTTCGATATTAAGGACACCTCCAGAAAATTTTATGTAATCAAATACTGTGCATTGAAAAATGTAAGATGTGTCACTTAAATTTTCAATTTCAATTGCTTTATTTACAGAGAAGCCCCTTTCCACAGAGGTTTGTCCATGTGACCAGATAAGAAAAAGTCCGAGATCCGGACATCCAATATCTGGAATGATCTAAAATCCGGACCTCAAAGTCCACCACCAAACCAATTTTCTTAGGGCTTTTTTGGAGGGAAGGGGTATGCTTTACGGCATGCACATTAGATTTTTTTCCTCATCATAAAAAAACATGTCGGAAATCCGGATTCTTAATCTCAGTTTGGCGCTAAATAAAATATCTCATTATTGAAGAAAAATTATTTTAGCATAAATTTGTGTGATTAGTAACTTGACTCCATAGCTGCGTATCTGATTGGCACAATCTCAAACCGAAACATTTGTTAATTTTACACCAACTAATATTTTATATCCTTGATGCCGAAATCGCGAATCATTATTTATTGTATTTTGCTTTTATCACCGCATGTTTATCAATGGATGACAACTTGAGTGATGACTCATGCAGCGACGCCAAATAATAGAGTATTATCCGATTACAGATTTAAGTTTAATGCGCTAAAATGTTGACAAGGGGAGATTTAACAGAAATTTCTTTCCTTATGCTAAAAATAGATTTTGTTAATGATACTCTTAGGACGATTATATTTAGTGCTATTTGAATTAAGAACAACTGATTTGTTATTCACATAAAGCCAGAACCAGCGCCAGAGCTCGCATGGCCGCACCAGGCGGCAAAATTTAGGGAAGTTAAACAGAAGTTTTTCATTGCGATGACAATGCCCCAATCATCAATCAATAGACGGAGGGCGAAATCTATAGTATAGTTCTAAATCCAGAAAATACAGCTACCGATAGTGAAGAAAGTAACAGAGAGGTTACTGAACGAGAAAAATTTTGATTGACAAGTTATTCGGAATTCTCGACACAGCAATTACAGGACTTGAACAATGGAACTTAATAACTGAACAAGAAATTACATGTCTATAGTATTAGTCTAAAGTATTATCAGAGAAAACAAATCAAACAACTCATATTGAAAGAAATGTTTAATAAAGGAAACATATAAATATTAAGCTCTTTTCTTTTGTAAATTTTGATACCCTTTAAATCATAAATGCTTCATTATACAACATTTTGTATTTAATATAGAATGTATATTTTCAGTTAAACTTCTACCCAATAACTTTAGTAATTCATGAAAGTTAATTTTGCATCTAGTT